TGAATTCTGGGAGGTACTCTGAACAGTAGTGATGTACACATGTAATGAAGATATGAAAACACATGACGGGAATTATATCTGCCGTTCTTTGTCGTTTCAATATTCAGGAATTTTGTAGGTTAAGAATTCATAACTTATTTTATGAGAAGGAACATACCAACGATCTATTATTGGAAGAAGGATATGATAGATAAACAAATCCAGATAATTACATCCAGAGGTTGCCATGGTTAGACTTACCATTTTATATTTTGGTTGTCAGCATTTTTCATTAGATTAAACATTGTCAATATTTTCATCCATAGATTTCATTTTCACTTTCTATTTATTTACTTATTTTCTTTCCTTTCATTTTTATTATTACTTTAAAAAAATCATTGATAACTTTATTGTTTTGGTCCCTCAATCTTATCACTACCATGGCCGAACAAGTCCCGAACCGAATGTGACACCTTGGGTGGTTCGAGCTGTTTTGGGGGGAGTTTTGAATCTATTTCAAATTGTTTTTCTCCAAAATTTCCTCTCTTGATTTGAATTTGGTGCCCCAACCTCAACCTAGCTGTATTTGAACTAAGTGGAGATGGCTCCACGGGGTTGATGCATGGCCTTCATGCTTGAGAGAGGCCACTGGGTCGTGTTAGTTTGAGTTCTGATCTCCCCATCCATTGATGCGCTGGCGACGCCATCTTCGACCATCACTCCCTAGAGTCTCCGGGGGTATCGACCCTGCCGTTTCTCAGCTGGTGACCTGAAATCAAGACCATTTAGTTCTCTCTTTACACCACAAGAGATGCCAATATTAACGGATTTGTCAATCTCGAAAGCAGACTAGTACAACCTGTTCAATGTTCCAACCATTTTTCGTTTTTCAGCGTTTCATTTTTTTTTCAGGAGGTTCAACAGATGATTTGTTCAACAGATTTGGTTGACGACCAAGTGGATGTTCAGCAGATTTTCTGAGGCATAGGCGTAGGTGTGTCGCCAACCATCTTGATGTTCACCTGATCTTGATGCCCCAAGTCCTGTCGACTTTCTGTTCACAGGATATGCCCCAGAAGGGGCCTCACAATGTGCAGCTTGTCCTACTGGAGAAGTCCCACACCACGGCCCCTTGGCAGATGAGGACGAAGCGTTCAGAGCAGAGCTGGTTTGTGAGTGCTCTGGGTGGGCTGCATCTCAAGTCTGTGGAAGTCTGGCAAAGAATTGCCAGACATATCTTATTTTCTGAGGTGGTTTGGGGGAAGTCCCAATCTCCTTCAACGACAGAATAAGAGCTGCTTGAAAGGTGTCTCGATGTTGAATTTCAGCTGAGCCAGCGCCGAGGCCGCACTGACTGCACGCCTTGTGCTCCGGGAGAATATGCAGATGGTGAGACATGCCGGCTTTGTCGATTCCCTCGTTTCTTGAATGGCAACAACTGCAGCCAGTTTGCACTCAGAACGGCCAGATGTTGGCAGGCTTGAAGCCGGACTGGGAGGCTTGAAGCTGCTTTATTTAGCTTTCAACTGTTTTAAGATCCACGGTCTGCTCGCCTGTCCTGTTTCAGTGTTTCAAATCACCGGATTTTGCGCATGATTTTGCTTTGGCTTTTGTATGTTTCTCCCAGGTATTTGGTGGCACCTTCCGATGATCGTCCTGGTGCTCCTCTTCTTCTCCGCCCTCGTCTTCCTCGGGCACCGCGTCACCAAGCGGCGCCGGAAGCGCTGGACCGAGCGCCGTGAAGAGGAGGCGGAGTCGGGGCGGAGTCGGGCAGAGTCGGAGACATGATCTGTACATGTAGATACGGCTAGTGATATGGCTATGAGTCAACATGGGGCTTTTGATCCATACCCATGATGGGCGGCCCATTTATGGCTTATGGTAGTGGGGTGCTTGTTGATTCGATGACCAAACACCTCAATCCACCATGGGGATTGGTGGATTTGCCTGGGCACTGGAGGGTCACGCTTTAGGCAGATGGAACACGTGGAATTCACGCTTCCGATGATGGTCCAGCCTGGTGGTGTTTCCTGGTGTGAACGTTGTCCCAATGCCCTTCATACATCGATCTGGGAGTTGTTTATGATTGTTTATGTGTATATACTTATGCCAAAGTCAGTCCTTAGAATGCCATAATTCAGCCCCACCGTCAGGCAATTCTTTGGGTTCCGATCATTCCAATCAGCCACTGCTTCGCTCGTTGAGCTCAGCTCCACCTCCCCAAACACTTGATATAAAAGGCATGTTATTGCTTCTGGCTTGAAAGGGTTCATGAGATTGTTTTTGAGTTTTGAGTTCTGGTGCTTTTGTTTGCTTGGACAACGCCGCTACTCGAGCAGGTGAACCAGATCCTTCAACAGCTCGAACAGGAGCTTTGGCATGAGAAGCTGAACACCATGAACAGGCTGCGATCATCCTCAGTGCATGCATAAGCTTGTTTTTCTATATACATACTGTTCAATGGATAGCGACATGTTGTGTTGCCTCCTTTTTTGAGTTGCAAGCCAGTGATCGAGTTGCGCATCTAATTTGTGAATGTCTCACCTTTTCAACCTGTATATGGAGCCTGATCCTGGAGAGGTTTTTTGTGGCCTTGAACGGCTTTGGCTGGACCTGGAACCAAGTGTGTCAGCGAGCTGAAGAGATTCTCAGATTGAGCTTTGAGATGTTCTCAGATCTTGTCTGAGGGTTCAAGATGGAAGGTCAGGGAAGTCTGATGAGTAGGACGATGTGGAACTCGAAATCTCACGCAGAAGAAATGCTCCCACTCACAGGCAGACATGGAATCTGCAAAGGAAGCAAGTCTTGCAGGCGCCCATTATCCCATTCCATGTGAACTTGAGTTGCAAGGACAGTAGAGATTTCCACTTGAGCTATCTTTAGTCGTGTTTCGCTGCCAAAAACCCGAGGATCCGGGCCCGTCACAGCGCCCATGCGGGTGTGAGCCTGGCGTATTTGATGGGTGACTTCTCACGGGTGGCCTATGACTGGTCTGGCGAGGATGATCCAACATTTCTTCGCTTGAAGGAGGCAGGAGGATCTTTTGTTTGTGAACTAGCTGATGAGTAGGTGACAGTGATGGGAGAGGATTCGACAATTTTTGAGGGATGAGCAGAAACAAATATAAAGCCGAAAGGTTTTAAGTACCAGCCAGTCTTTGAGGGGGAGATGAGTGGAACAAAGGGATGTATGCCTTGTCTGTGGCTGGTGCCCGTGTTTTCCGGCTTTCAGTGCCCGATCTTTCCTTGAGGTCTTCTGGCAAGGCGAGGAGAAGCTCGGATCTGACATTCCTTGCCCCCGCGATGGGCGACCAGGATGCGCGCTGGTGGATTGGCTGTCGCCAGAGCATCGTCAAATGCAGACGCATTTTATGCCACTTGGCCAGACCTAAAAAATGCCACGAGAAGCGGAAAGGTTGGAAGAGGGTTGAAGTTTTGAGCACATGACACATGAGAGGGTTAGGAACTTGGACATGAGGGTTGGAGTTTTGAGCTCCGGAAACCTTTTCTTCAGATATGACGCATGTGGGCCTCCTAGGGAACCGCATGATCCTGAAGTTGCCACGTGCCACATTTGACGCCGCCTGGGACGCGGGTTCTGAGAGAGGTTCCTTGTTGCGGGTTCTGAGGATCCATTCGGGGCCGAGTAATCTCAGGAGGTGCAATTCCCAAGCAGCACCAGCTTTTCATATAGTTTTTTCCATCCACGTTAAACGGCAAGGTCCCATGAAGTGCCTTCAGATTCATCTTGCGCAACATTGAATGCTCCAAGCCTCAAATTCTTGTTGATGGGACGGACCCGAAAAAAAGATACTTTCAAGGTTCCTCACAAATTTGATGTGGTAGCTGCTGTAGCTGCTGTAGCTGCACGTTTATCAGTTTTGAACGTACCTCGTGTGGACTTTGATAGTTTCGGGTCTACAGCTTTTGGAAGGAAATGAGTGACGAAGAAACCATCGAAGGTCCTGGAGCTGGCAATATTCACTCCAACAACTGCAGAGCGCCATGAAGATGTGGAGGGGAACCACAACGCTGGATGTTCAAGAGGCTTAGCTGATGGGTCAACTTGCTTTTTGTCTGATTTCAGTGAGGTTTGCAACGAGCTTGGCATTGTGTGTTGGCATGAGAGAATCATAGAACAGCCAAGGAGGTCTTCTTCTACATCTGTTTCTTTGTCAACAATCAATTCCGCATCATCGTGGAAGGATCGGCCATGGGAAGTGACAATTTGGAAGAAGTCTTCGAGAAGAATCTCCGGCGCATCGGGCGTGTGGTCGCAGTGTTGGACACATGGCAGCAGCCTGTCTACCTGCAACGTGTGTGGACGATCTACGAGCAGTACGTAGCTTGCTCCTTGCAAGTACCGGTGACTTTCGTCATGCCGGAACATGCAAGTGCTTCTTGTCTTAAATGATCGTTCTTCAATGTTCTTCATGTCTTTGACGTTGTTTTTCCAAGCCTCGGCTGTGGTCGCCCGATCCAGTAGACCCCGAACAAAGTAATCTGGGAACATATTGTTGGGACCCCTTGATCCATTCGACGTCGTCAGGTGTCCCTATCAGATCAGATGCTTTGCTGAGACTTTAGAAGCACCTTTTCTCCTTTTTTTTCTCTCTTCAAAAACAAAAAATGCACACATATTTCAGATTCATATTTTAGATTATCTAGATGACTCTTTCTTTTTCGCGAATTTTCGGGGTCGGTCACTGGTCACAGCTGGAATTCTTCCCCCAAATTCCCTTCGGCAGGATCTCTCGCGGAGAGTCGGGCATCGACGACGTCACATCATCCCTGTGCCACGTCAACGTGGCCGATGCTCGAGCCTTTGATCCCAGAGACGAGGAGAAGGTGAAGAGGACGATCGAGTGCACGGACGCTTGGAGTTGATTGGATTCGTGTGTCGTTTTGTTCAACTTATAGCCTATGATAGCCTATTCTATGCTTGGTCTATGGAATTTGAGCACGACCTGAAACCACCAAGACACTGTCAACAACCGTGTTTTTTGTTTAACGTCTCAGTGTGGTTTAGTGTGGGAGTCCTTCCTCCAACGGTGTGTCTTTTGGCATGCACTGTCGCACTGTCGCACCATATATTTTTCCAACAGCTTGTTGATTTCTGAACAACCCCGCGTAAGCTTAGCCGGGGTGTTTGGTTTCATGTTTCGTAAGTCGTTGGCAAGTCGTTGATCTGCGGGACATGTTTCGCAAGTCGTTGCCTGTTCAAAGGCTAGGCGTAGGTCACAGATATGGGAAGCCAGGATCAGAGAACAGCAGAGCAAATCTAATCTAAACAAAGCAGCAGAATTGGGATCAAATGTCAATTTGCTGTCAATTTGCTAGACCTGTCATGACCTGTTTTGCCCCAGTGCTCTGGAAGCACTTGCAAGGTAGGTTTTGACCGAGTGAACCAGCACGTAAAACATGCAATGATCCAGTGGATTGGCGTGGTGGTGAAAGAGAAGTTCCAACGGCTAGTCGACGCAGCTGATCGTGAGGACGTCTTTTCAGTCTAGCAGAAGTCTAGCAGCTAATTAATGCTCAAACATGCTCAATCAAGTAGCATGTGTTTGTCTTGGCTAGGAGAACGCCTGTGATTTCTTTAGCCTAGCAGAAGTTAGCAGAAGTCTAGCAGATCTGGGGGCAGAAGCCTGGTGCTACATGAACACTCAGACGTCAAGCTCCACGGAAAAATTTGAAGCCGCTGTGGTTTTGGGGTCCAAGACATAGCCGGTCTCAAGATCCCCCCTGCGTCTGCTGTTGGAGCTGCCTATGCTTTTTGAGCCAAGATGATTGTACCCATTTCCACATTGCAGAAAGAACTCCGTAAAACCCCTATAACCACCAGAACACCGTATAGATACGTGTCATAAATACATGTAGATACCGCATGTTTTTAATATTTCGGGTGGGTGTGGCGCAGTGAAGACAGCTAAGATGGCAAAACATTGCTCAGGCTTGGGTACTTTTTTGGGCAGCAGACCTTAAGCTTTCCAGTAGAACAACAATCGTTGCTCCCTCTTCACTGGAATCATTCAGAGACATTTGCATGAAAACCAAAGCACACCGTTCGGCCGCTTTTTAGGGTACATCAGAAACTGCGAGAGAGAGAAACTGCGAGAAACCGGAGAAAGGACAACTGCTCAACTGCTCCGCCAGGGCAGTGCTGTCCCAACCCCAACTGAAGCTGAAGAGGCCCGCCCAAACTGGGAGGATGGCAGGATGCGGTCGGATGGCATGAAATCTGTGGCATGGGATATGCTACGGGTCAAGCGATGGGACAACCTCGTCTCTTTTGCTTATTCATGATTTTCATGATGCAAATCCCAAATTCCGGAGGACCCTCCTGGGCTTGCAACATGAATCGGACGCCGTTATATCATTGCAAGTTTCTGAATCTTTTATTACAGTACTGCATAGGTCAAATCCCATCAAAAGGCAACAGTGCCAAAATGGTCAAGTCGTTTCAAAAACATATCATTTCACTATGCGACAAGTGAACTCGCGACAAGATTCTCCAATAGATCCAGAGAAGTGTCAACATTCTTCAAGACCCTTTTTCAACCAACCACAAAAGCGCGTCTCCTCCAGTTGTTCTTGGTTGCTTGGCATCATCCAGTGTGTCCACATGTCGTTGGCATCAGGTCCTTTCGAGGAGAGGATAGGAACCTCCTTCCTCTCTTCGCACGTACCGCTGGGACCGGTCGCCTGTGGGCCAGTCCAGAGCGACCAAAAAGCACCGGTGGTGTCCCAGAGCTTCGGAACAGCCGGGTGTTTTCGGGTGTTGGATGTGTTTGGGTCGGGTGTCCGGTTATTGCGAGACCCCTATGAGCTGTACACCACGCCAATCCGATCAGGTCATCATTTGGGTGTCCGGTTAATGGAGGTTTTGGATGACCGTCGATTTCTCCTCCCCAAACACCAGGGATCAACCTGGGGGGGGTCGATCCAAGATGCACGGTTGTTCGGTCTCCCCATGCGGGCCTTCTCCTTCACTGGGCTGCAGGGGATGGGAGACCGAAACATCCGGAGGGTCGTCGCCGGCTCCGGTGCGAGGAGTGGAGAAGTTGGCTGCCAGGAGTGGAGTGAGGCGCAATGTTCATGGGGTGGTGGTTCTTCATCCGTTCCATCCTGGATGAATGATACCAGTCATGAAACACATCATGTCATAATATGTTTTACACACCTGCTTGACAACAGAGGTGGTGAAATGATGATACAGCCTTTTGGTGCCACGCAACGGAACCCCAACATGCCTCAAGCATGGCACGTGTGCCGCATCACCAAGTTTGCTGGCAGGTGGGACGCCAAGTTCGTTCCGGTCACCAAAGGAAAGACGTCGATGTTGGCGCAAAGGCTTCCAAAAAGGATGTGCTTCGTGTGCACGTGAGACTAGACGTTGGCTTCAGGACTGGCTGAAGGGCCAAGTTTTGGAGGCCCCAACAGCTGATATGACCGGAGGTAGATTGATGGTATGTCCGATGTCCAAGGGGTGACTCCAAAACAGACCCCAACTGCGGCAGCGAGCTGTGAGCCAAAATGCCATCCACCCGAAGAATCCGGGCCCGAACCAACAGATAGGGTTTGGATGGGTTTGGTTTGGGCGCAGACCCCTGCTATGGAGGGCCGAGGTTGGGTCCGACCCCTGCGAAGAGGTCGAGCCCAAGGATTCAAGTTTCAGATTGGCCGGTTGCCGTGCGCGGGATGTCCATTTCCTGTGATCATCCTGGCAGTGGCAGCGGGGCAAATGTGGCCTGCATGGGTTCTTTTCCACAAGAAGATGTCACCATTATAAGGGAGACCATTTTGGGGTCCAATACTCTGGTTCCAAGTTCCTTGGCACACGGATAGTTGACATCCCTCGTGAGCTTTCGGACATAGTTGACATCCCCATGTGGTCAGATGGTTGACGGAAAACACCCTGCACCACCTCACCAAACCATTAACCGCAAACACCAGGGTGTTCCTCATCGGCGCCGTCTGAAGAAAGAAGTTTGACCCAAAAAGTTCCAGGAAATCCGACCAGTTTTCTGACAGCCTGTTTACTCTAAGTGTCCGAACATATCGTTGCCCAGTCTTCCAAAATCACAGCTTCCTCGCAAGCTGTGAAATTCCAACATATCTCATCAACCGAGTTGCCGAGGATTCACAGCATTTTCACGATGAATATCATTACCGAAGTTTCACGTATGAAGCATCATGAAGCATCAACGCATGTCTGAATATCATCATCACCGAGTTGCCGAGGAAGCCAAAACCTGAAAGCACCGTGCCTGTGACCGAGAAAAAACTCCGCAGCCTTTGCAAAGAACACATCACGCCCAGTTGTCCGATGAAACATCAGGAGGCCAGTTCTGCCAGACACATGTAGTGGCACGGTAGACCAAAAACCGATCACTGGCCGATGCTCGGTGAGTAGGGCGAAAAAGAAAAAAACACACAACACACACCCTGGGAACTGTCCTGGCCCCGTCATCGGTTTGATCGGTTTGAGCCCCTCTCGATGTCTTGAGTATCGGAGAGGAGGCCATTCCCAGCCACCACGGAGACACGGAGAGACTCGTGGCGGTGGCTGAGGATCGTGCGTGCCCTTTTCGTGCGATCGGGCCTGTCGTTCTCGAAGAAGCCCTGAGTCTCGGCATCACTGTCTGAGTGCGATCCGCGAGATCTCGGTGCATGAGTTGCGTGGCTCAAAGTGACAGAATTCCGATAGACAACACTGTCTTGGAACATCTTGGAACACTCCATGGAATGGATCTCTTTTTTTCAGGGGGGATCCGGGATGACTATGCTTAATTCAACCCGAATTCCAAACGTTCTTTCCCCGTTTGAAACCTCGGGTCGTCCTCCAAGTCGTCGTCCTCGTCTCGTCGTCCTACAAGTCGTCCTTTCGTTCGTCTTCGTGCATCCAATTTCGGGGTTCGGGTCCCAGGTCCCAACGAAATCAGATTTGTTGGGACTGGAATGAATCCACGAAATCCTTCAGGTCCCAAATCCTCAACGCTAGGGCTCTAAGATGCTCTAAGTACCTCCTCAGGTTCGGTATCTGGACCCTCTAAACCCACCCTAAACACCTTCTCAGAAGGTACTTGGAGCCCAAACGGGCAAGTCTTTTTCTTCGCGCCGCTGCTCCCTCCGTACTCATGGCCTGATGGCCTCGTTCCGCGCAACGGCGAGGCGAGGCGGTTCCGCCGGGTCGGGTTGGCGACCGGAAGGTGGAACCCAAACGAAGCTGAGTTGGAGTCATGACATGCTGTGCTATGCCCCTGAGCCTTGAACACTTCGCTTTTGGTATACCTGTGGGATCAAACACAACATCGATATTCTCTGTCCTGGCACCCTCCCCCTTTTCATTTGCTCACATGAAAGCACATGAAAGCAACATGAAAACGCATGAAAGCAGAATGAAAGCAACATGAAAGCGAGTGAAAGCAACATGGGGAGTGTTTTCGGTTGTATTTCTACTTGAACAGTTGCAAGTCCAAAATCTTTCAACATCCAAATCCATCATGTTCCTGCTTTGTGGAAGCTTTAAACCCAAAGCAGGGATCGCCCCAAAGTTGTTGTACCAGGCCATCTCGGACGTCCCGTCCGCCCGCGGTCGACCGGCCGCCCGCTGTACCGGACAGGTTCGTGCCATGGATCGCCTGCGGAGCGATGCTCTCGCAAGGCAGTCGGACGAGCTGCGACGGACTCTCCGGGAGCGTGTAGGACCGGTGAGTCCGCCGAGCTTGGCGGCTTTTTTCATGTTTTGGCTCTGTGAAGAGGATATCGATCCGGAGCCAGAGGTGGGTTTGGTGAGCGATTTGAGCCCGGTTTGATGAGCTGAAGATGCTGGAAAGGTGAAAGATCTTCAGACCTCAAGTGGGGTGTGAAGACTGCCAACATGCTGTGAAAGGCTCTTTGATATAACCAGCATCAACCAACCAACCTGTTAGTCAACGCTAGTCAACACATGCCATGTTCGTCACCATTGGCTCCGTGTCTTTTTTGGGGACGATCAGCCCTTCTTCGCAGTCTCCGCAGGAAAAGATCCGACCAAACTACACCTGCTAACCTCGAAGCTTTATACGCCAAATAGGAAATCATAGGTTTAGCAGGCTGGTTTAGCCTATTGTACTTTAGTCTATTGTAAATACCAAAACGCCAGGTTGTCCTGAGAATTTCTCGGTGGGTTTAGCAGGTACTCCTGCAGGTACTCCCAATTCAAAGTAGAGCATCTCTCCGAAAGAACCTCAGTGGCACCCTCCAACGTTGCCGCGCCCCTCGCGATTTCCTCGCTTTTCCTCGGTCTCGTCGGCCGGGCGGCCAGGTTGGCGGTCAGCCTGCGAGCTTGGCGAGCTCCGCCCAGGTCGTTTTGGGCACGGAGGGGAATTGAGGGGATTAGAGGTGTGTGGAGATGTGGTTCGTTCGTCTGCCTGATGGGCTTAGGTCTTCCATGGTTGAAGTAGATTCCCATGATGTGGAGATTCACGGCACGGGAACTTGAAGGAGAAAGTCACAGACATCGCGCCACTCCGCGACCCAATTTGGTGGGATTCTGGACACAATATATAATCACCGACCCATCACCAACCCATCACTGGGAGAAGCAGGCAGAGGCTCTTTGGGATGACCTAACCCAAGGCTTTGGGCATCGCCATCGGTCAGATGGCGCCAGGACTGGCGCCACTGCTGTGCCTCGTAGGGGGGCCCCAGGATCCCCGAGCGCCGCCCTCCGGTCCCTGCCCCCCCTAGACCTGGGTGGGGCGAGCTGCAGTGAAGTCCATCGCCTGGTAGAACGGTCGGCGGCAGCGGTTCACTGGGTTCAGTGAGTTCAGAGCTCATGACATGAGGAGGATGCAGGAATTTCCTGATTTCACCAAGACGTGGGAGTCCTTAGCTTGACCTTCTTGACTCTTTTCGATGACCTCAACTGAGCTGCACACACAACGTCGACAGATGACAGAAGATGGAGAAGGTCCAAGCGTCGAGTCCTGCGCTGGCACGGCAGACACCCTGCGGTCTTTTGGGTGTGTCACCGAGTGAACGGCAGAGCAAACGCCTAGAGGGTCGTTCCGTGACCTGCCTCGGGTCGTCCTCGTAGCTTGGCCCAGGTGGGGCTTGGCTCTGGCCTGTTGATCTACCTCACGGCGCAGGCAGCTGGTCAGGGCAGGTTTTTCATATGTTTATCATGGTTTATCTATTTATATGAATCTATGTCATGTCGTTTTCGGGAGGAAGTAGAAGCTTCAAAGTTCATCCACATCCATTGGGGAATGCCGAGAGATGTTGAGTCAGGCGAGGATGCCCCACCAAAATGTTTGGTGTATGTGACCAGCTGCGCTGGCAGCCCGCTGCCAGCTGCGCTGCAAACCGCGGGCTGATGCTGGCTGTCTTTCACGTCACTCCTGGTCACCACCCCAACTTCCAAGGGATTTGAATTTGTTTTGGTCATGGTGGCTGCTAGGACTGGGGGGAACAGACTCAGAAAAGAGTGTCTAGTCACGGCAGTCTTTCTTGGTTCAGAAACAGGATGGCCTGCCCCCAAACAAAGGGGCTATAGATTCCCAACTGGAGAACAATTGCGTAAGTCACAAGTCTTCCACTTTTCGAAGTGAATCCGCACCCTCCAAGCGACCAGGTGGACGCACAGGAGGCTTTCAGTCAAATCCGCACCCTCCAGGTTCCAGTGCGACCAGAGGTGAGGTAGTTCTGGATGGTCCCAGCGGTTTGAAAAACCGCCTTCGCCCAGCAGTGGACTGGAAGGGGGTCCGGTCCGGACCGTTCTGCACCAGGTTTTTGCCATCCACGTTTCCCATGTTTCTTCTCTACGACTCTACCCACATCTTCTTCACCCGGGTGCGAGGAGGAGGGGCACCCCCACCAGACACCCTTCAAACACTGCACTGCGGCCGCCGGGGTCGAGGCACATGATGTGACGAGATCGTCCTTGGTTTGGTTCTCGTGCATGCTCACTGGCCGCTTGGCTGGTCTTAAATGCGTTGATCGCTCCGTGGTGTTTGCCCTGAGCGAAGGTTCAGGGGTTCCACAGGAGACTGGAGACTGAAGCAACTGTTCAATGCCGTCAGGTCAGTTGTAGGTCCACGATTCCAAACCCTTTTCACACTCCATTGGACAGACAGTACTCAGTAGATATGAAGACCGGGTCAATCATGATATATAGGTGGGTTTGGGCGGAGGGAACAAGTTTGCATCGGCCACCAGAAACTGGCCGTCACAGTAGCGAAAAGATCACCATCACATGTTTTTCCATCCCTTTTTCCACCATTTACATGATCGACTTTACTGTATTTGTCATGGTTATGGTCATTATTGCTCTTTATTGTTATTGTAGGTTATTGTATGTTATTTAGTATGTTATTTAGATATATATGTGATATATATTATATATACATGTGATATCTGTGTGCTTCTTGAAGGCGAAATCGCTGACCAATACGATCCACCAATGCGCTGCTACTCCACCCAGCAGATCCACCAGATCCCGAGGTCCCGGTTTCATCCACTCCTCAGTTCGGGTGGGGCCATGACAGTGGATGGTCATCCGTCGGTACCACTATAGTGGTAGCACTATGTACCAGCACCACCCAAACTGGAACTGGTGCTTCTGAGGGTCAAAGCCAACTTGGGGAACTGGTTCTGGTGGTTCTGCTTGTAAGCCACCAAGGGGCATTTCTGTTCTGTGACTCCTTTCGTGTTTTTGGTTCCGCTTGCTTGCCGCGGGTCCGGACCTCGGACCTGTCCGGCGTCCAATGGATCGAAGAGCGGAACAGCAGGTTTGGAGCTGGTTTGGAGAACCACACGGGTTTGGAGATGTTCTTCTGAACCACACATGTGTTCTCTTCTTGTTTCAGAAGATTTGGAGGAACCACACGAACATGGTTTCACCATGCTGGACACTTTTCTTGACAGGGTGGACTCAGATGAGGAACATTTGGAGTGCTCCACATGGAGGAAGAGAATCTTTCAAGGTCATGTTCCTCATAGAAACAACCCTTTTCTTCCAGAACTCACTGGAAACGGTGACCCCTCTGGTGCTTCCATGAGCCCTGGGAACCCGACGAGCTTGCTAGAGAACAGCCTGACATGCCGGGTATGTAATGTGAAGATGACCAAAGAGCTCCAGCACCAGCATCGATGGTTGTGGGGCGTAGTTGTTGCCTCTTCTTTTCCAAGCTGATCATGTGTGCGTGTCCCAACATGATGGTGGAAGATACCGCCAGTGATACCACCTTCAGGAAGCCTGGAGGGAAGGGCCTTCCGGTTCGTTCGTTCTCCTTTTTCCCTGTGCAATGTTCAATGATCTTCAAAAGCTCATTCTTTCTGCAGCAGCCCTTCGTTCTAGACCCAAAACAAATCCATTCGCACATATGCATCCAAAAACACATTCAAATTGGTCTGCCGGAAAGGCCTGCAGGGCGCCCAACGCGTTTTCCTCTTGTTTTCCGCCTCGTACCGCTGCATACCTTCACCTCTGCTCGCCCCCACCCCCCGCCAAACTGCCGAGGCGGTCTGCGAGCGATCGCCCAGCTCCGCACCACGGCGCCCCAGCGGGACGGCCCAGCGGTTCCGGCGCCAGCGGCCCAGCGCGGAGTCGATGGTCAGTTCGGTCGGTTCGGCCGGATGTTTGGGTCGATTCCATCACCCAAGATGGGTGTTAGACTCGTGTTCGCGTTGCGCGGCGATGTTTAGGTAGACCGTGGGTGGTTCTCGTCCGGTGCTTGTCGTGGCTACAAGTAAGACGACGACGAGTGACGAGTGCTGCGTGGCAAGACGATGGTGAGACCAGGGATGACGAGGGCTGCGGTCGTTCGGGTGGATTTGTACAGATTTGGACCGTTGGACCTTTACACCCACCTAGACGCTCCAAACAGCTCTTGGTCCCTCAACACCCTAGGGATTTCAGGGTCCGGACCCCTACTTAGGAGGGTCCGGCCCCTACTTAGGAGGGTCCATGAGCGTCTGGGCAGACACTCCATGGGACTGCCATATATGCCAATCAGTTGGGGTGGTTTGGGGCATCATCTATGGCAGTCCCATGGAGTGTTTGGGACAGATTTGGCTGTCCCCTCTCCTTCCTTTGTTGATTTGCCCCAGATACCTGTCCATCGGCAATGGATTGAGACGAGCCGAGTTGAAACGCCGAGAGCGATGTTGTGAGGTCAGAGGACGCGCTGCTGGTGACCGTGCCGGGAGGGCTCATTTTGGAGTGGCGGATGGATGGGGAAGAGTGGAGAGAATTGAAATAAACAAAACAGAGTTGATGCGGGTGGGTCATGCTCTAAGAAGCGCGGGTTCCTGTCATTGCCTGTCATGTCAGGGAGTTTGATCGAACTTTGTTTTCGACACTGGAATTGACCAAGTTTTAGAGTTTGTCGGTGCATTTGTTTTCTTTACAATTGTGAGTTTCTGAAGGCAGATTTTTGGCAATCCGACATCACAGCGACATCGCCCCAGCCCGTCCCCAAGGCAGCTTCTTATATGAGTTTCTCTTTCATCTTCACTTTGCTTCAAACAGAGACCCCCCAGATGCCCCGTAGCCTGGTTGCGACTTCTTGGAGGCCCGGAAGAAACCCCATTGGTTTGGGAGCTTCCACTATTGAGTCTTACGGAGCAATTCCACTGGGTGAGACCCTCACGGGTGCACCAACCTCACGGCGTCGCGTGAGGTTGATCTTCAGCTGTTTGCTGGGCTGTGGCTTGCCGCAGGCACCGAACCCAGCTGGGCGGGAAGAAGAAACCGAAAGCCTTTGGAAACGTGGAAGAAAAGCAAGGAGATGGATCTGGTAAAACAAGTTCATCGACGACTTACACAAGACAGTCCAGGCGTTGGAGGCTTTTCTGGGTCACTGGGATGAACGAGGAGCGGTGGTCAAACAGCTCCCAGTTTTCCACTTTGTTACTTTTTTGTTTGATAAACATGGATGAACGGTGGTCAAAATCTGTTGGCATTGACTCCACATCGACTAAACATTGCCCCATGATTTGCTTAGTACTTAGGTGGCGGGTGAGGCCTGTCACCTATGATTTCCTTTGCATTTCTAGAGTGTTTATTACCACTCTTTACTACCACTCGCACATCGGTCCAAGTCGACGTCATGCCGGACACTCTGGTCCGAACATGGGATATTACCACTCTTTACACCAGAACCTTCTAGAGTGTTTATTAATTAATTGCCACTGTTTCACGCCAGAACAAAACACCCTGCACAGACTCTGCTTTACGCCAGAACGTGCTTCATTCAGGCGGCTTGCCTGAAGTCTGAGGCGGGGGAGCACTGGATGTGGGATGATGTGGGTGTGTAATGATCAACCATCGACTTGACTACCGGGTGTCTATGTTTGTCTATCGAAGAACATCTTGACATCTTTGTTCTGAACAAACAACTGAAATCAATCAGATAAGTTGATGTTCCACTGATGTGAGTCCGATTTTGCCTCCAAACAAATCCGGATGGTCCATTGGTCCCCGAAGACAATGGTGCTCAACGGGGTTCGCCTGATGTGAATCCGTTTCAGACAATGGGATACCATGGTGGGAGACCATGGATGGTTGTCCTTTCGTTCATGGCCATGGAGGACCATTACCATTTTCAAGCCGGAGACCCGTCACAGGTGGTGCCCTCACTCCGCTTCCATGCATCAAGACTATCTCATAAGACTACTGGTCAAGGTCAAGCGGCTTTACCGGGTCAGACTGGATTGTGGGGTAGAGCTCAGGTGGATCGATGGATTTGAGGGCCTTAGAGCTCGGGCGCGAGCTCGGGGCTTCTCTTTTTCATCCATGCCGGCCCAGCCTGTAGGAAAGCACAATGAAAGCACCTAAAGCATCTCCACTTCAGTGTTTGGAGAGATTTGGTTGATCCTTTGGTTGAAGACCAAACACCACGACCTGAAAAAAAACTGAAATCCTTGGCCTGTCCGTGCGTTTGTGCTCACCTTTGGCACCGTTCGACACGCACCCGACACAGATCGACCGGTGTGCCAGCTCGACGGCCCGTGCGGGCGGGGCCAGGCGATGCTTCTGGGCGTGGCTTCGATGCTGGCCAGCGAGGAGCGGCGAGAAGCTGGGCGTCGCTGCTGGCCCACGCGTGAGACCGGCTCCAATGTGGACGTGTGTCTTCTTTTGGCGGGGTGGTAGTGGTGGTTCGACTGGACTGTTGGGGGGGGGGCCGAAGTGGGGTGCTCGTTGCGCCGAGCGGGTCCCCGAGTGGCTGAAGATGGCTCGGGTTCTGACGGAGTTTGGAGGTTTCATCCGACCCAGAAGTAGTTGGTTTGGAGATCCCGAGGCTGGGGGGAAGCTGTTTAAAGCAAACTATGTACCAGGACCCACTGGAGTTGGGTGGTTCATGGACACCCTTTATATCCCCTTATATAACCTCTAAGATCTCTAAGGATCTATCAATCGAACCCCCTGGTCCGGGTGTCCAGGTAGAAAGGGGTGTACCTCAGTTGACGGGATGTGCGGGGTCGATCAGCGACCCAGCACCGCCCGTGAGCACCGCACCGTGAGCGGCAGTTTGGAAGCCCCAATGGGTGGTACGGGTACCAAGATGACTCAGATGAGCCAATGGCGGAGGGAGGTGACATATACAGCCATAAAGGAGGTGTTCATAGTTCGTTCTTCGGCCCGGGAACTCTTTGACCCTTGACCTGGTCATCTCCCCAAAAGGGGAAGACAGCGCCACGGGTCCGTTCGCCAGGCGCTTTGCAACATCGAGGTGCTGGCGGGGACCGGCCAAGTGGGGGCCCAACTGGCGAACGCGCGACGCGGCGCGGCGGCGTTGGCGTAGGAGTTCAGAGGAGTTCTCCCAGCGCACGGCCAGTTCACCAAGTTACAACAACACACACACACAAGCAGAAACACAAACAGCACAGAAAAACAAACAGAAACACATATATAGGCAAACATAGCGCAAAGTAGCTACTCAGTAGCCACTTCGAACAAGTTCAACGGCCACAGACCCTGGAGGGCCAAGTCGACTCGGTCTTCCAATTTCGACGACGCCGCGGCGTCGGCCAGCAGGTGACGTGTTTTGGATGTCCGCTTCAGGCCACCCGTGCGCCTCCCACGGTCCATCGAAGGTAGTGCTGTCCATCCTGCTCCTGGGCTTTGGCCTGACGGGCTTGCTCGAGAGCGACTCGAGCGAGCGCAGCTCTGCCCCGTGCGCAGGGAAGGGTCATACCTGGAAGGCCGTTGGCGTGGGCGATTGGGGGTCACCAACGCAGGCTGGCCCTATGCCAGATGTGCTTGAGTAGGGTCCATGTTTGGTCTGCTTGAATTGAAGCTTTGATTACCTGGAAATCTAGTCGCAACCAGAAAGTTGTTCCACTATGGCAACTGAGATCCTTCACATAGCAAGTGGTCGGGACTGTGACACATCCATTTGTTTCTGGTTGGGACTGGGTTTCTAGGTAGAAAGGGCCACCGTACCCACGGAGACTTTCTCATTCCGACCCAACGATGTCTGAGCCCAGGAAGCTCTCGGCTGCCATCCCAAGGAACCAATTTTAGTTGGAAGCAGCCACTCTAGACAAATTGCACTCTAGATCACGGGGAGGGGGGACGAGCAGCCATTGGCGCGTTTTTGGGGTGCTGTGAATCATAAGAGGTCACCTGCTACTTTTGTCCACGAAGATCTAGTTTTGCTTAGGGTTATTCAATTGTCCTTTTGGGCCTAACGTGTGTGAACTCCCTTCTGGGGATTTCTGGGAGTACATCTTTTTTCCTGGTTCCCTAAGCAAATCCAAGAAGAACACAAAGACCCACCTTTGAGGAAGGAAGTTTCCACACAAGAGGAATCATATGTCTCTTTGACGTAGGACGGACTTGCTTGTGGATGGACATCGTTGCTTGTGGACGGATCTTGGGGTGTTCTCGAACCGACTGGGTTTGGTCAGCCCCGAGACCGGGTGCATACCTCTCCCCCAAAATCAACTCGATACCCAGCTCACTGGTGCTTAGTACAAGGGAACAGTAGAGGCCGGTTTTGGGATGTGGCCATCAATGTTGCCCTGCCCTTTGGCAGGTTGCCCAGACCTCCCCCCTGGTGCAGCTCCCAATCTGCGATTCAACCGGATTGGGACCAGGGATCCGGACCAAGGATTCACAAAAACAAGCCAGGCGCATCATCCAAGAACAAGATCAATCTCTATTAAGACAAAACAACCAAACGGCTCATACCACATCATGACAAGGATATCACATGATATAACAAATAATGGTATGATACCAGATAATCACAGATAATACAGATAATCAGTGATAATACAGTGATAATACCAGATAATCACACAGATCTTAAGATATCAAAAAAAGACCAAACCAATAACTCCTCCTCCGGGTCCTGACCGTCCCAGTCCAGTCCAAGTTGGTTTGATCCGGTCGACTTCGTCGGTCGACTTCCTCGGTCTACTTCGGGAGCATAGCGCTTGCTGGTGTCTGTCGGAATAGTAGGGCCACAGGGAGGGCCGTCCGGGAGGGGAAAGTAGATATTTTCATGGTTTAAGATGGTTTGCCCAGCACTGTAGACTTTTTTTGACCTTTAAGTGTCCTGTCAGGAGACCTGTAAGTAGTGTAAGGTTGTCCATTGGTGACGCGTTGGAAGCAGCTGGTGTGGATGTAAAACATCATGTTTTCATTAAGTCCGCGACATTCCCACAGAGGTCTCGACTGTAACCGTACTGGCGTGTTTTCAGCCTGCTTCATGATCGCGGCCTTGGCTCTTCAGGGTGTTTACCAACAGGTGGCACCCGAATCCTCCGCGCTGTTCTTTTTTTTTTTCGGTTTCAACAAACACGAGCCGGTGGCAGGTTCAAAGAATGTCAGAGAACACGATCAGATCAACACAAAGCTCTTTCAAGACCGCAAAATAGAACATGTTTCACAACACAAAACCTAGGTGGCCCAGATCGAATCTTGAAACTACTGGGTCGGCCTATTTTTCCCGGGCTTTTTGCATCTCGGCCTGCGCGCTGTTTGCTGTGTGGTGCCGAAGAGAACGTTTGAACTTACTCGCGCCATGGGCGACCCGTGGGGAAGCCGTTGGAAGACCTTTTTGGCTGTTGTGCCTGCAGCCCGGCGGTCCCAGTTCAACTGGGCGCCGGTGGTGGTGGACCGGAGAGGAGAGGAATTCATTGAAGGGGCTTTTAGGCTCTTAAGCCACAGCTGTGGTGCATTCCTTTCGGATTCGGAGGGCGACCGGACGGATGGGCGACGGAGGAGAGAAGGATGGGCGATGGACCAAGGATCGGAGTGATGGACAGACCTCGGTGCTTGAGGCATGTGTGGTCCTTTTCAGACCCAGAGATCCCTGGAGAACGGAGACTGTGAGATCCCCCGGTAGTAGATCCGGTTTATTTGGGTGTTGGGGATGGCAGGGATGGTGCATGCAGCTTTGATATATATATATATATACCCTGAGCATCTGAACCCTACAAATTTGTCGGGTTTGAAAACAAACCTCGGGTTTAGCCGTGACATAAGGGAAAACCTCCGTTTTTTAACCAAATCCTCGTGTTTTGCCCCAAAACCCTCCGTGGTCAAAACATTTTTCCCCAAACAGTTTACTGTTAGGGGTTCTCAATGCTTTAAAGAATGGTCGCCTTGGTGCTGGATGGTCTGGTCGGGTTCCCGGCCGGCTTGTCTCCCACTTCCTTT